CTGTCCTAGTTTAGCTGTAATAGTAACTGTTGAACAATCAGATAAATGTTACTTAAGCTGTCTCCATTTTAGATTAGCTTTCTACAATTGTGTGGCATAAAACGCCTCATTAAAATGCTAATGCATTGCTCTAACTAACAGACAGTAATATCAAATAGCTATTATGTGCAGATGACCCTAGATTAAAAGTGTAGGAGAGGATCATGAGCTGGAGTGACAGTATTCAAAAGTGCCCAGCAAACATAAAACATGCTATATACAGTAAATTCAAATGTAACATGAAAAATGGAAACCAATGAAGCATAATGTGAGGACTGTGATAGGAAACATATTAACATAGCTGCAAGTGGACATAGTGTGAGTACAGAACCCCCCCGCAACGCATCATACTTCTCCAAGCACAAGACCTGTCATGGCTGTAACTTGCTGTAACTCCTTCTCAGGTGGAAGCCATTGACCTTAGTATGCAGAGGGGTAGTAAAAGGGCAAGCATAATGTCAGAGAAAAAAAGATGGATACTAGAAGTCCTAGGAAGATAATAACTTTATCGATAATGATTCTTTGAATTGACAGTTAAGATTTTAACCTAAGTAATAGCAAATTCTTGGTTCAAGATGTCTTTTGCCACATAAACCACACAAATGGTAGCAAAAAAATCTGTGAAGAATGTGTTCTGGGCACAACAGCAATTCTTGGACAATCTCAGCAATTAAAATCCTCTTGGCCACACCAGAATTATCAAGTAAATGGCTACATTTGATGAAAAGATTATAATTAGAAGAAAGTTCATGTCTAGCAGAGGGGACTTGCTTGGCTTCTTAATATAGGGGCAGCCATAATATTATCTATTCTAAACTGCCAGATAAACCTGTACATGCCATTGCAATAACCATGCGTTTTTGTTTCAGTACAGAGTGACATGCTTGACAAGTAAAATTGTTATTAACCAGACACAAATGTAGATAACATAATTCAAATATCCTCATATTACACAATAAATGTGACAATTTGCAGGTTACACCCCTTGAATTACCATTATGCCTCCAATAGTACTAACAACAAGTAACTGTTAAGTGTAGACAAATCATGCTATAAAATGTGTGGGAACATTTGTGTTACAAGAATGCAACAGTTACATTTGGCAAAGACTGTGAAAACTGACAAACTTCTTACCTTTGGACTCAAAAGATTCAGGTAACTTTCCTCATATATATTCTAACTGCATCCTTTGTTGCTATCATATATAGAGTTTAATCAGGCCTAGTTTGCAAGGGCTTTTTTGACATAAAAAAATAAGTCTTTCATTAGATATGCTGTAACTTTTTTTCCAGAGATGCCTGTACACTGAATTAACGTCTTCACCCTAACTATTGGTTGCAGTCTTCTTACTCCATTGCTAGAGCTGTACTGTCAACTTGATAGATTATGGAAGCACCCTATATCTGATTTTGAGTTATAATTAAGATTTTGATCTAGCATTATCACAAAATAAATCAAACAATTATAGGAAACCAACCCAAAAGAGAAACAAGTGATCACTCTAGTCTACCACATAATTTACAAACCTAATTCTATTTCTGAAAGTGAAACAGACAATTTCTGGAGTGGGAGTAACCAGACAAACTGCCTGATACACAATTCTGTGAATCTGTCAGGATCTACGAGGCCCATCTTTCATAAATTTCAATATGAGGAGTCCCTACCCATGGCAGGGGGGTTGGAACTAGATAATCTTAAGGTCCTTTCCAACCCTAACTATTCTACGATTCTATGAAGAATAGAAAAAGATTAACTGCAATCTAAATACTTGCCTAAATATTTTAGCACAAGAGTCTGGCCTCTGTGTTTTCTATCACAACAGGAGTCAACAGCAAATAGAAAAACAGTTCTTCAATTTCTGAAGGAAGCTAGCCATCAGCAACCTCGAAAGGACATTCTCCTTCGCCTATCAAATAAATAGCACTATGGCATGTAATACACAGAGTCAGAGAATCATAGAATCATAGAATGGTTTTGTTTGGAAGGAAACTTAGAGATCACCTAGTTCCCCACCCTCCACTACAGCAGGCTGCTCAAACCCTCATCCAACCTGGCCTTGAATACTGTCAGGGATGGAGCACCCACAGCTTCTCTGAAGGTCAGGGTGTGGAGCACCCACAACTTATGCCAGGACTTCACCACCATCAGAGTGAAGATTTTTTTCCTAACGTCTAATCTATTCAGTAACGTCAACTAATTTATATAAATTACATTTTTCCACTCTTAATCTGGAGTATAAAAGTATATGAGGAAAATATGTTTCACAAAATATAGTCTTAAGAATTCTGAGTAGAAACACAGACTTGTCTGATTCTCCACAAATGAAACTATAATCTTTAGAGAGGTTAATGTTCTCAAAATAATTAAAAACAATTTGGCTGTTCACAACAACACAGGTAAATTTTTCTTGCATAGTAGGGAAAGACAATCTAGGTTAGGCTCACTTGCTAAGGAGAGCTTTCTTACTGTATTAAGGAAGTCTTTTGTACCCCACTGACTGATTTTGCAGAAACTGACAAAGTGATTTGTGATTTAGATTCAGAAACACATTAAAATCATGGAAACCTGAAGGTTTGTACAAAGCAGTCAGTAACATCTGGTTCTAGTTTTATGAAGGACTGTAAATAGTCATGTAGTTCGTATCTCAAGCAGTGCCAAAAGTGTGTGGGCCCCCAGCTCACGTAAGAATTTACAAGAGATAACTGAAAAGAGAAATCTGAATAACAGCTTTTTTTAAGAATGACCTCTTTTGTAGGCTAACAGTGTTATGGTTGCAATGAACTCATGCTGCCACTGAGTGCTGTTTTGTGGGACATGCTAAACTTCAGTCCGAGTCAAATGCAGCAAATGGTATATTATGATTGATATCCCTAACAATTCTTGATCCCTCTGGCAGCAGAGTGCAGGCTGCAGTTTTCTTTCACTTGGAGGGATATCTAGTATACCTGGAATTGACTGCCCCAGGGATGGAAACAGAGCCCTAGTATTTGCCATGCTCCCTTTTTTCCTGTACATGTTAAAAAACAGTTTTGCCTTTTGCAGTTACAAAAATTCAAGTAACAAATACTCTAACCAGGAATAAAGAGGCCCTGCCTCCACTCAGGTGGAGGAAAGGGACAGCTGGGTTTACTGGACTGTGTGAACTTGACTGCCTGGCACATCAGCCCTACAGGACACAGTTCAGACCATAGCATTTGTGTTGGTCTGAAAGGGTCAAAGTGTGAAAAAATATGCTTTACACCATAGCCAGGGACCGCAGTCCCATACTAAGTGCCAAAAATGACTGCTGTGGTTTAATCCCAGCTGGCAACTAAGCCCCAAACAGCCACTTGCTCCCTTCCCCTCTGGTAGGCTGTGCGAAGAATCAGAAAGGTAAAAGAGAAAACTCATGCACTGAGATGAAGACAGTTTTGCAAGTAAAGTCAGGCATGCAAGTAAAGCAAAAGAAGGAATTAATTCACTGCCTCCATGAGGTAGGAAGGGCAGGCCAGTGCTCGGCCACCTCCAGGAAAGCAGGGCTCCATCACATGTAATGGTTACTTGGGAAGACAAACATCACTCCAAACATTCTCCTTTCTTCCTTCCTCCCCCAGCTTTCATTGTTAGCATAATGTCCTGCGGTCTGAGACACCCCTTTGCTGTATCCCCAGCCTACTCGCTTGCAGGGTAGTTATGTGAAGCAGAAAAGGCCTTGGCTACGCATAAGCACTGCTCAGCAAGAACTAAAACATCCCTATTGCTATCAAGGCTGTTTCTAGCACAAGTCCAAAATATAAATACAACACAAAACACAAGGCCAATAGCAGCGGCTATGAAGAAAATTCTCTCTGTCAAAACCAGTACAAGAAGAAAGTCTAATGCATATTTAAGATACATTGTTTAGGATTTAAAAGTTAAAAGAAAACAGACAAAGTAAGTGAAAAATTAAGTATGCAAAATGTGCTAGTAGAAATGACCAAAGTATGCTTCCAGTGTTAACATCAGGAGTCTCTGATCCAAATAATACTGCTCTTTTGAATCACTGTTGGATTACCATCAACAAATAAGTACCTGCAGAGAATAAAGAAGCTTTCCAAATGTATTTCTTTCTAAAGCCAGTAACAAGGTAAACATGGTAAATGAAAAAGAGAGGTAGAGAAGCTTCTTCCAAAGCAACATGATCCTACTTTGATGTCTGAGCCAACTTCAAAGCTGGTGCTGCTCCAAGTCAGGGATTAGACTAGATAACCTCCAGAGGTCTGGTCAAGCCTAGATTATTTTATATTTCTAAGCTTGCATATTGGAGAAAGGAACCTGATGATTCAAAACCATGTTCAAGGAAGCAGGAAATGCACAATAATGTGCAGAAAAGAGACTACTGAACAGCAAAAGGAGACAGCATTACTTTCCTTATGCCTCTCCTCTTTGCTTCAGAAAAAAATAATTATATTACTACTTTCTTAAAAGAACAGTAACAGCTGCTGCACCTTTCTAGGCATTTGCCACTAGGACTGCAGCCAGGAAGACAGAAGGACTTGCCTTCTGTCCTGAGGACAGAAGTTAACAGAGTACATCCTACAGACAGAATCGCAGAATCATAGAATCAACTAGGTTGGAAAAGACCTTTAAGATCATCAAGTTCAACCATTCCCCAGCATTGCCAAGGCCACAAACTGAAAGGTACTGTTGTATCCTTCAAACACAATGCTGTACATATAATTTCATGTAAGTACAATTAAAACAATCACAAGAATTCTACCTACACAAAAAATATGCCTCAACAAATTAATATTAATAAACGCTTCATAAACAGTGTGAATTCATATTTTCATTAAAAAAACCTATTTTGACAATAAAAGAGCTTTGATTGAGTCATTTTTACTTCCACCTTAGAATACACTAGTTGGTAGAATGTAACTGAAAATACATATTTAACTTCTCAGTTTAATAAACATTCAAATTCTGATAATTTGCCAACTTACATAGCTCCATTAGTGTAGACTGTGTCACTTCCCTCCACATACTGAACCTGGGCTGGGTAGACATGCTGTACCTGTTGCACAGGCTGCACTTGCTGTACCTGAAAAAAAAAAAAAAACAGCAGAAATTTGGACTATTGTAAAGAAGGACTGATGCTTCAAGTGCACCTAATGGCTTCTAAACAATACAGAATAACTCTGTTCTCATAATTACTAAATGTATGTCACAGCAATAGCAAAGCAAGTTACTTTTCTTCCGCAGTATCTGTGCCATAAGACTGGTAAATGGAGCCCTAACACTGAAGATAACCACTCATGGAGCATATACACCTTCAGTGTCAAAGACACAACTAACTGGAAAGCATAGTAAGGATGAAATGAAGTATAGCTATGCTTTGCACCAAGCTGAAGAATTATATTTACTATGGAATAAGGTATCATTTGACCACATTTTGCCTTTTCTTTCATTTCAGTCCTGCATAGGACAAACTTTAAATGACAGCTCAGAAGCGTTGTAGAAAGTTTAGAATAAAGGTTTGCATGAAGATAACTTACTTCTTGTGTAAGAGCTTTTGACCTTTGTACACTACAGCGATATGAGCTTTTTCGCCAGTAATGTTTTGAGCCAATATAAAATTATGGATCATAGCATCACAGAATCATAGAATCAACTAGGTTGGAAAAGAACTTTAAGATCATCAAGTCCAATCGTTACCCTAGCACTGCCAAGTCCACCACTAAACCATGTAACTGAGGTCCTCATCAAAACACTCAAACTGAGTAACCACTTCCACCAAATATTATCAGCTATAACAAACTGACAAAACCTGGTTTTACATCAATGAGCTAAAGAACAGAAGGCATTAAGGCATGGATTATCTTCATATATATTGATGAGATGGCACACCTGTTTTGTAAAAGCACACATAGTCATAAATCACAGAATCATAGAATAGTTAGGGTTGGAAAGGACCTTAAGATCATCAAGTTCCAACCCCCCTGCCATGGGCAGGGACACCTCACACTAAACCATGTCAACCAAGGCTCTGTCCAACCTGGCCTTGAACACCACCAGGGATGGAGCATTCACAACTTCCTTGGGCAACCCATTCCAGTGCCTCACCACCATCACAGTAAAGAATTTCTTCCTCATATCCAATCTAAACTTCCCCTGTTTAAGTTTTAACCCGTTACCCCTTGTCCTGTCACTACAGTGCCCGATGAAGAGTCCAGCATCCCTATAGCCCCCCTTCAGATACTGGAAGGCTGCTATGAGGTCTCCACGCAGCCTTCTCTTCTCCAGGCTGAACAGCCCCAACTTCCTCAGCCTGTCTTCATACGGGAGGTGCTCCAGTCCCCTGAGCATCCTCGTGGCCCTCCTCTGGACTTGTTCCAACAGTTCCATGTCCTTTTCAGGTTGAGGACACCAGGACTGCACACAATACTCCAGGTGAGGTCTCACAAGAGCAGAATAGAGGGGCAGGATCACTTCCTTTGACCCGCTGGTCACGCTCCTTTTGCTGCAGCCCAGGATACCATTGGCTTTCTGGGCTATGAGTGCACACTGAAGCCGGCTCATGTTCATTTTCTCATCAACCAACACCCCCAAGTCCTTCTCTGCAGGGCTGCCCTGAATCTCTTCTCTGCCCAACCTGTAGCTGTGCCTGGGATTGCTCCGACCCAGGTGTAGGACCTTGCACTTGGCATGGTTAAACTTCATGAGGTTGGCATCAGCCCACCTCACAAGCGTGTCAAGGTCCCTCTGGATGGCATTCCTTCCCTCCAGGGTATCAACCGAACCACACAGCTTGGTGTCATCGGCAAACTCGCTGAGGGCACGCTCAATCCCACTGTCCATGTCAGTGACAAAGATGTGTAACAAGACTAGTCTCAACACAATTCCTTTGATTTATATACTACGTAAGGAAGCCTCAGGTTATGTAAATTTTCTCTCCATTAATAATTTTTTCATCTTCTGCCACTGTAACAGTTAAGAATTCCATATTTTAGCCTTCCATCACTTAGAGAAGCCATACTTTGTTTCAAGAGCAGGCCAGAATCTAGAAATATAAAAGGACTTAAGAGACTTCACAGCCCAGCACAATTTTACCCAAGGAACTGTATTAAGAAAGTGACAATGCACATATTTAGTAAATAGCTTTAACATAAACTACTCTTACGTGACTGTCATTTTCTTATCCATTACCTTCAGCATTATCAAGTTGGTCCTACCAACTGCAAACACCCAATGAACCTGAGTTCATACATTTGATGGATCATCTCCAAGACCTCTTTGGGAATACCCTGGTTTAATACCTTCAATTCTGCTGTATTTTTAGATGTTCTGTAAATAGCCACATTTTTCCTAGTCTTATATAGTATTGACTGAGACTGTGAAAGGAGAATCCAGATTTTCACAGAAAACTTCCCTTGGGTTCATGTTAAAGCCTGAACTCTGAAAGAAACCAGAAACACTGAAGGTTTTGAATGCAGCTGTACTGGCATGATAGAAACCAGATTTTTCTACCCATTAACAGCAATGAAACACAACATGATGGTTGAAATATTTATTAAAATCGAAAGTTTCATGATTTCCCACATTAAGCACTACATGTGTTGGGGGCCTACAAGAAATCTGGAGAGGGACCTCTTACAAGGACATGTAGTGATATGACAAGGGAGAACGGCTTTAAACTGAAAGAGGAGAGATTTAGATTAGGTGTTAGGAAAAAATTCTTCTCTGTGAGGGTGGTGAGGCACTGGCACAGGTTGTTCAGAGAACCTGTACATGCACCATTCCTGGCAATGTTCAAGACCAGGTTGGATGGGCTTTGAACAACCTGGTCTAGTGGAAGGTGTCCCTGTCTGTGGCAGTGGGGTTGGAACTTAAGATGATGTTTAAGGTTCCTTCCAATCCAAACCATTCAATGGTTATATAACAAATTTATATCATAGAATAATAGAATAGTTAGGCTTAGAAAGGATACAAGCTACCATCATTTCAAAACCAGGTTCAGCATAGTGTAAGACCCTTACCATAGAACTGAGAGGATACTGCAGGGAAAAAGTGGTATAAAGTGTATCAAATCTCAATGTCTATTTGACAGGAAACTGAAAAGTTCCAAAATGTGTTTATTCTCTGGTTTGGAACAACAAGAATAAACTCATTACATGCAGCACTACTACTAGAAAGGTCATGACTCTTTATGCAAATAAAGTAACTCATCTTTTAAAGCAACATTTAAGAATGGATAGACTAAGTGCTATTATAGTATCTTATGATACTTCTGTAGATCAACATGTTTTTCCTTTAAATTTTAATGATGAAGTTCAATACAAAAGGGCCACTGAATTAGGTTAATTTTTCCAATAATAAAAGAAGACAGTTTATAAAAGAAGTTATTTTGCTTCAGCTTCTCTGAAACTCAGTAATGCTATCTTTAAATTGATTACAGTGACCAAGGGAGGTTTAGTCACTACATTGTATTGCAATGTACGTAACATCCTTAAGGTAGAGAAAGTTATTGGCAAACCTATGACAAATAAGTTAGAAGTAAAGCTACGACAAATAAAAAAAGTGGCCTTTAGAATGGCCTTGTATATGAAAATTCTGCCAGGTGGAAAATCTTTGTTATATCTCCATTACTAATTTTATTTTCTATTTTACTCCATCTGGGGAAAAATATTTTAATGGGAATCATTTCTAGTGCCTCTGGATTTTCTTTTTATTCTCCAATGTCAGGAAGAAATTAACTGCATTTATCTACTTTCTTTAATTATACAAATTACACAAATTACTTGAAAAGAAGTTGGTTTTGAGGAAACAAAACATCACCAAAAAAAACCTGCAACATTTCTTGTGGAAATTGTGGGGGAAAAAAAAAATTCTTCCTTTCTGTTTTATTTATAATTTTCCTTGCATCTTTCGTTAAACTGTTAAAGAAATTGTATCAGGTATCTACTTTAGTTTTGGGGCAAAGCAGAAATTCGAGATCACAGAGAGAATATTCAACAGAGATCTAAATCTAAATAGCCTTCTTGTATTAAAAAATATAGCAAGAAATAAATGATTTGAGGTGAAAATGGAAAATACAATGAATTAGTTATTAAAATGAACAGTACGCAAGTTCAAAAATTGTATGGTTTTGGGTGGACTGGTGAGCTAGTCATGGTAAGCGTTGTTATTGTCTGGCTAGAAAACATACTGACTTGTACAAGAAACGAGTTAAGGAGGGTCAGACAGCAGATCTTTTGTTACTTTTGCTTCAGTGATTGTAGCCTGAAACAAATAACTACAACAGGATTAGAAGTAAGCAGCTGAAATGTTCCAGAAGAGCAAGAGGCATTTCACTATACATGTGTAATTATAATTACTAGTTGAAGGGGAAAAAAAAGAAAATTAATGGTATTATTAACTATACTACCTCAGAGGAGAATTGAGGAACTAAGATAATTTGTATCAATGAGATTTTGTAAACAAATTAAAGTGCATAAAAGCATACTGAAATGCAAAAATTACATTGAAGCACAGATTTAAGATAGAATTTTGATTTGTAATAAAAAGTTTTTGTATTTGAAGTACTATTAAGCAAAGAATAGAACAAAGGACAAAACATTTAAGGATTTTTAAACTCCATTTTAAAAAGAACATAAAATTATCCACAGTGCAAATGATGCAAATGATTTAGATGTGCATTGTTTTCTGTTCTCAGAGATGAAAATTTTTGTAGCTTCATTAGTCTGGATTACTTTTGCCAAGTAACATCTAAATAGCATATGCGGTAATACTCTAAGCACATTCATATTTATATTATGGCTAATGTCAGTTCATGATTATGTTTTTCATATGCTAAACATGACTTTGCATTAAGGACAATTTTGATTAGCAGAAGTGTCTCCATCTTCAGTAAATGATAGAATGCTTTATGAACGTGATGGCCATTATGTATAGTGAATATGGAGAAATGATTTGCTCAACTTCCGATGCATGGATATACTTTTATGAAAGAAATTATATGACTATTTTTAGTTTTATTTCTCCAATTCTTCCACATTGCATGGCATAAACTACAAGCTGAGTTTTGAATCCTTAGAAGTTTACTGCACTGTGTTTAAGAGTGCTTGTTGAAAAAGAGATGATACATTAGTGAAAAATCCTCATATCTGAGGAAACAAATGACTCAGGCTGTTAGAACATCATTTAATTACACTTCCACCTTTTTGGTCTTATTCTTGGAGCTTTTTGCTTACATGTGGATGTGTTTATTCCCTTATCATTCCCATCTATCCCATCTCAACATTAACAGTGGCTGGGCTGCATGAATCCCACTGCCAACAGTGCCATTTTTACAAGAGGGGAAGCCCAGGTTTTCATTAATAGTACCCTTTTTTCCCTATGCTTGAAGTATCACAGCAGACTTATATGAGCTCCATATTTATACCAGCTATATGCAAATTAGAGATCTGTTTTATCTGAAAATATCAAAAGTTACTCTTTCACTGTTTGCTCAGAAGATGCTTCAGTAGAAACACAGCTATAGAAAAAAGGCTCTTAGTCCACCATTCACTTATTCAGCTTACTCTTCTTCAGGGCAAAAATGCTACATTTTGAAAAAGATACACATTTTGTGAGAATAAATGAAATACTGATGCCTTGTAAACAACCCCAAATTGATGCTTGCATTTAAGTATGGTGCATATACAGGAATGGAAACATAGGAAACAAAGACCTCACTAGGAAAAATTAAATACTATACAATGCTTTAATATTAATGCATAAAAAACCCCTCCTAAATGGCATTTTTCACTAAAAAGTACTAATAAACTACTGTAAACATCATACAGATGTTTCAGCTCATGCCAATTTGTATGTGCACAGGAACTTGCATTACAGTATTTTTGAGTTTAACCAAATTCAAGAAACACTCTATTGTTTTAGTAAATTATATTCACAAGAGAATATAATCCTAATGTGAGTGTTCACGTGTATTTTGGATACAGCTGGCATTATTACGTCTTTCATAAACAGCAGAAAAAAGTTAAAGCATATGTTTTATACTACGCACCTAAAACCTTCCCTCCAACTTTCAACACTGATAACTTTTAATGTTCAGAAATAGTAAGCTCTTCCTCTGCCATCAAAAGAACGACTTGATGAAATTAACACTCTCCTGATTTTCTTTAGGCAAATTAGCCCTATCAAATGTACATAAAGCCAATATTAACTTCAGGCAAATGCAACCTATAAGCAGATAATTCCTGAGGGCAGATCACACCTACAGTTTCCTCAATATGCTGATTGTTTCAATGTTTGATATTCCTTCCTTTTTTTTAACTCTACAATTAAAATTAGCTATCCTGCCCACATTCTTCATCTCATTTCCTGCTGGCACACCACATATTTTCACACTTCCTTTCCTCCTTGCCACACATCCACTTCCATAATCTGTCCTCTCTCTACACAGATCTCCTATGCATGCCATGTTTTAATCACTGCAATACTGTCTGCATTGGATTTCCCAACATTCTTGTTGCATCTTCAATCCCTGCAAATTTTGTAGATTATCCTCTTCCTTGGCTAGTTTGATCCCTTAGCTTTCCATTCTGAAACATTATGCTTAATGCTATGAGCAATGTTCAGAGTCAACAGAAGAGATAAAGTCTAACATCCCCCCAAGGACAACAATAAAAAAAAAAATCCAGAATAATGATAGAGCATTCAATGAAAGGGAATACTCAAAGCAGCAGTACCAAAAGAGATGCATGTAAGGTTTTACAGGGACAGTTTTACATACTCAGTGCAACCAAAAGAAAAAAAATCACTTTCCTATTCTCATTAAGTTGTAATCAAGCAAGAAAAAAACTCAGTATAATCCTGGGCTTCTGAGTTTTGACACAAGTATTACATTAATAAAGGACAACTGGAATACCTTTCTATATGCCACTAACTGGTTACCAATCTTCAATGAGTCATACTTATCAGTACTTCACACGGATAAAACTCAGTATTTAATATTAGACCATCGAAAATATATCCTGTTTGCTTAAAACAAGCAAATGTGCAGCATACCAAATTGCCACCTTTTATCTGAACAGCTAAAATACAGGAAACACAAAGAAAAAATCACATAAACTACATCTATTAAACATCTGTCATCATGAAAGAACATAAAAATCAGACAAATTATCCAAATGGTATTTCATGAAGAATTTTTCAGCTTCATAAATGCTACAAAATAGTTAGACAAAATTTCCTACAAAGGTTAGCTGAGTTAAAGGAAGCTGCAATCAAAACCTAGCATAGTATTTAAAAGCCTTCATCCTAATCCACATTAAAGTAAAAAGACAGTAAGCTATTTTACTGTCTGAAGTCAAGAGAAAATATTTCAAACAATTCTTGACTCACTAGTGATGCATTCTGAGCAAATACACGAAGGCATTTAAATAAAATATTTAATTCCATTTCAATGCTCTTCTGAATATTTATTGTTTTTAAAAAAGCTTGCATCCTAAAAGATACATGAAGACATAAGCAGAAATGATAGGAATGAAACTATGAGACATTATAAATAGAATCTGTGCATCAGGGAAAAATTGTCACTGAAATGTATGAGACCGTGGAACACAGTGAAAAAATAAAAATGTATCACCTGGAATTTTAGAACTGAACTTAATAAATGCTGAAGAATTAAATTTAGGGAAAAGTGCTTCACTGGCACAGAAACAAATTACATTATTTAATAAACTATGTACTGTTCTCATATCATTCTGAAACTTTAAAGTCAGTTTTTGATTAAAAACAACATCAGACTATCACCCAGAGTACTAATCACATGGACACCTGATTTCTGTATATTCCAGAAAAGTCTTGGGACAGCTGAAATGGCTTTTCACATTCAGTTTCTGTTTTCTACCCCTATACTTTTCCTTTTTTTGTCGCTATTTTATTCTGCAACCACACCTTCCAAAGCCTGTGTGTGCTGCATAGGTAAGTGTCTCATGTAACAGGTGTGCACTGTGCTGGCTGCTACAAAAGTCTTCTTACATCCCTGGGAAATTCACATCATGAACTACACCACAAATACCTCCATGAGATTATGCAAAGATCTGCAGGGATTCAAGCCTAGCAATGCAAAGGACAGTGCTTTTCATTTTTACATTTGTATTGCACTTACCTAGATGTCCAAATGAAAGGAGGAATTATATAGCCAATAATATCAGAAACATATTCATTGCTCATTGCTTAATGGAAAAAATACTCAGTAACATAAATGAAAGTAAATTTCTATGAGCTATTACGTGAATTCCACAATAACCTACATTAGAATCATGTAGGTGTACTACTCAGGCTTGTCAGATGTCCTAGGCAAGGAATAGATCCTGAAAAGAGCTTGCCTTTGTAAGGCTACTTTAATTCCAGGTAAATAAAATTGATAAAAGCAGAGCAGAAGAGTTCACTTAGCAGCATCGTACAAAATAAGAGTTCTTTAATACATTGTGAAGAATCATCCGTCCTGATTTTTCTTCCCAAAAATAACAGCCACCTACCTGTTGCTGAACTGGTACTTGCTGAACTACCTGTGTGGGCACTGCTGCCTGGCCAGCCACAGATGTCTGTAAAGTCACAGTTGAACCTGTATCCGCCCCAGTCTCCGATGTCTGCATTGTGATTTCTGAATAAAATTAAGACATAAAATTAAAATGTTAAGTGTTTTGGTGATTTTTTTTTTTTTTGGCACTTTTATTAGGATACTAATTCGTTGCTTATCTGTATTTGGATCTTAAAATTAGTTAATACCAATCTTGATATAAGACAAAGGGTTTTTACCCCTACTAGCATGTAAGTTGGTGCAAATGGGTTTTTATCTTACTTATATTCAAAATACCTTTTATTTACATGTGCAGAAACATGCATAATTTCTCTGAGTTTCATCACTTTAGGAAAAACTCAGAAAAATCAACATAGAATCTTCTCTCAGTGTGAAAATAACTGGTTAACATTCAAAAATTTTTCTCTGTCCTACTGAATTATGCTAAAAACACCATACATTCAAATTCAAAGTTAAACTTCTAGAAGGCCACAGAATGAAGGGCTGTAATCCAGAAAGCAAGTTCTGAAGAGCATTTAATGAGTCATGTGAAAAAGCAACTCAAATAACTTTCAGTAGAAAGTATTAAAGCAACCACTAAAGTTAAAATCTGAGAAGAAACTTTTGACACAAAAACAATATAGAAATACACAGATGGTAGACAAGTGTCTAGGATCATGACCCTGACATTTGAAGGGAACAGTGGAAACCTAAGTTGAATACAGAAATGGTTCAAGACACAAGGGAAATGCCTTACAAAGAAAATTCATCAGAAAGGATCACTTCTGATTTCATAGGAAACAGACTGTGAACTGCAGGATTCCTCAATTTTACACAGGAGAAATGACAGTAAAATTGAGTGGCTGACAAACCGAACTTAATTAAAAAACAGGAGTTAGACTTTTTAAATTGTTATTATTACTTCTTCTAAGCAGTGGATGATTAATCAATGAAAATGATAGCCAAATTGAGGCAGAGTCAGCTGATTATTCTGCTGCAAAAATCGATTTCTGGAAATTTTTGTCATCATCCTGGTCATTTATAATAGTCTTAACTGAGTATATGAATTTACTATTTTGTATATGAGCAATATTATTTCCTTTGCTTTTGCTTTTACTCCTCATAGCTCTAGATCAGGTTGTGAGAATGTGATTTACTCCACAATAGCTGTGGGGGTGAGTTCTTGATCCAGTCTGATTTAACGCTGTCATTAATTAATAAAGGCCTGCACAGAGGCACAGATAGAACTGAATCTGGGTGGGTTCCAATATTAAGAAAAAAAAAAAAAAGTCAAAAGAAGTCACTACGGGGAAAATAGGCAAAGGAAATGAGACTCATCCTAGAAAAACTCAGGCTAGTACCACAGGGATAAAATAACTGGAATTATCCAAATGGAGACCAATGATGAGTGGTGTTCCGCAGAGGAACATATTGGAACCATCTCTGTCATTCATCAGTGACAGAGACAGTGGGATCGAGCACACCATCAGCAGGTTTGCAGACAACACCAAGCTGAGTGGTGCAGCTGACATGCCTGAGGGACAGGACACCATTCAGAGGGACCTTGATAAGCTTGAGAAGTGGGCCCAGGGTAACACCATGAGGTTCAACAAGGCCAAGTGCAACGTCCCTAGTGCACCTGGGTTGGGGCAACCCCCAGAATCAATACAGGCTTGGGTATGAAGGGACTGAAGGTACCCCTGAGGAGGACTTGGGGGTACTGAGTGATGAAAAGCTGGACATAGCACAGCAATATGTGCTTACAGCGCAGAAATCCAACCGTATGCGGGGCTGTATCACAAGAAGCATGGCAAGCAGGTCAAAGGAGGTGATTCTCCCCTCTACTCTGCTCTCGTGAGACCCCACCAGGAGTACTGCATTCAGCTCTAGAGTCCCCAGCACAGGAAAAATATGGACCTGCTTGAGTAAGCCCAGAGGTGGGCCACAAAAATTATCAGAGGGCTGGAGCACCTCTCCTATGGAGACAGGATGAGACAGATGGGCTTGTTCAGCCTGGTGAAGAGAAGGCTCAGGGGAGACCTTATTGTGGCCTTTTAATACCTAAAGGGGCTTATAAGAAAGATGGGGGAAGACTTTTTAGCAGGGCCTTTTCTGACAGGACAGTGGGTAATGGTTTTAAACTAAAGGAGGGTAGATTCAGACTCAGTATAAAGAAAAGATATTTTATTATGAAGGTGGTGAAATACTGGAACAGGTTGCCCAGACAAGCTGTGGATGCCCTACCCATAGAACCATTCACAGTCAGGTTGGCAGGGGTTCTGAGCAACCAGCTCTGGTTGAAAATGTCCCTGCTGATTGCAGGGGGGGTGGACTAGACGACATTTAAAGGTCTCTTCCAACCCAAACTATTCTACAATTCTGTGATTCTATGTTTACTGTAAAGTAGTAAATTTCCTACCTTTTTTTTGCCTATAGAAAATACTGTATATAATCCAGAATAAATTTATTTAATGCTAAAATCAGTATCACAGTCCTGGTATCAGACCACCCCAACTGAAAACCAACAGTTTTTCCCTTCATTCCAATATTAACAGGAATATTCAACTTCCAGTAATAACATCCTGAAAGAGTATGTTAGTTACTTTCCGAGTAACGAATGGTATACAATCATCTTAAATTTCTGTAGATAAATTAACAAGACATTTGTCCACATAAGACATCCTTAAATGCAACAGACCAAACTCATGAACGATGTAAATGTGTGAGCTTAAATAAATTGTCAGATTTAGAAAACTATTTTTTTGCAAACAAAGGCAAAAGGGGACCTATACTTTATACATCTATGAATAAACATATATATATATATGGAAATAATAGATATATAAAAAATAATAATCACTGTAGCATATATTTCTTTTATTGAGATTTTGAAGGAATTTTCTTGGTCAAAAGTAATGGATTGAGAAAAAAGTAAAGATGATTAGTTAGTTAAGGTGAAGATATATACATAATAAATAATAATCACCATAATAGTGATCATTGTACGGTTTGAAGAGCATCACAGCACAGCTCAATGAGCTATCAAGTACTTTCTGGAGTCTCCAAAACATAACAAATGACATAAACAATGGTAACTAACATTCCTAATGTTATAAGAATGAGTGAGCATTTTAGTTTTAAACTGAATTTGAATAATTCATGATTTACTCAGTTCTTACCCAGTACAAAGCCACTGCAAACAAAACCTAAGTTGTAAAAATATTAACACTCTTAAAGGAACAAATACAATGAAACTGGCTTTTAAGTGAAACTGTGAACAGCAAATTACATTTAACTAACTTTTAAATTATCTTTCACTTAATGACATTTTAATAAATAAATATGCTTCCTATTTAGAGTGCAAAGCTAACTGTTACTTAAGAAAGGCTAATTTCTTCATATTGAAATTGTTGGGAAAATAATCTCCTTTCAATTGCTATTTTCCACAATCACACATAAAAGTCATTGGACAATGTTTTATGCATAAATACTGAAAAATACAGAAAAGAAAAAAGTGTAGTCTCAACAGCGCTGTTTGGGCAGCAAAACTTTCAAAAGCATCAGAATAATCCTATGTATATGTCTACTTACTTAGGCATGTACCTTCACCTTAACTAATTAATCACCTTTACTTTTTTCTCAGTCCATTACCTTTGAAAATTCTTTCTAAATTTAAGTAAAAAAACAACCAGTTTGTCTGAGCAACCCTGCTCTCACTTGTATATATAACCCTGACAAAAACATTGGCAAGCTGGCAGAATAGTGGAAATCAAAAGATAAGCACTGAGTAACTTCCTAAACCACCTCTTTGTTATAAAACCACTTCCAGTCAGTTTCAGAGCACAATTCAACAGGTCATTTTAAGCCAGCAATTCCAACAATCATTCAAGATACTGCAGCTTCTATGCAAAGCAAACCTGAACAGCTGAAAGGAATTAAAAGGCATTGTTTTATACCTGCCTTTGGCTTTACTTGACTATATATTGTTTCATGGTTACTGTGTACAAACATGTCAACCACTGCAAGGGGAAGAAATGCTGCTGCAGGTAAATACACTTTTGACTGGTGAGAGACTGTTCTGTACTGCCATGTATCTGTTAATTGCTCTGTCATATGTCAGGCAGTCCTTGATCATTGCAGCTGCAATTCAAGATGCTTGAGATACCAGAGCCAGGTACTTTCATCTAAGTGAGGAACAGGATGTGTTCATTTTCTTGCAGCACTCATCATGGATCGTGCTGGCTGACACCAGCGTTAGCAATTTAATAAAAAGGGAGCAGCTTCACTGTAAGAACAGAGGATACTTTGGTTGAAAACCAGATATCAGTGCTGTGAAGAAGCTTTGAGAAAGGCAGACTACCAGTGCCCATGGTCTCCTGGTAGGCACTGAGGGGTACCAATGGGGATAGTCAAGGAATTAAGATATTCTCTGCCCACTCCTGGAACTGACAATGTCCAGAGCCATACCACAGAATCACAGAATCAATCAGGTTGAAAAAGACCTTTAAGATCTTCTCCTATGAGAAGAGGAAAGAGTTGAAAGAGTTGGGGTTATTGAGTCTGGAGAAGACTCTTGGCAGACATTCTTGTGGCCTTTCAGTTCTTGAAAGGGGCCTGTAAGAAAGACTGGGAGAGACTTTTTATCACTGTCACAACAGAACAAGGGGTGATGGTTTTAAACTGAAAGAGGGGAGTTTCAGGCTGGATGTGCGGAAGAAATTCTTTACAATGAGGGTGGTAAAACACTGGCACAGGTGGCCCAGAGAGGTGCCACCCCTGGAGACATTCAAGACCAGGCTGGATGGTTCTGGGCAACCTGATCTCATTGAAGATGTCCCTCCTCGTTGCAGGGGAGTGGACTAGATGACATTTGAAGATCCTTCCAACCCAAATTATTCTATGAATCTACGCCAAGTCCATTAAACCATGTCACTAAGGGCCTCATCTACACTGTTTTGAACACTGCCAGGGATGGTGATCCCACCACTTCCCTGGGAAGCCTGTTCTAATACCCGATCATGCTTTTGTGAAGAAATTTTTCCTAATATCCTGTCTAAACCTGCCCTGGCACAGCTTGAGGCCAT